AAAGCTACGTTAAGTTAAAATTAGGTAAGATTTTGTGTTATTTTAGGTTAGAAAGCTGTTAAATGTAAATACACTTACTTGTTGAATCTAATGCTTTTGCTATTTCTCCCCACATCTTCTCAATTACACCTCTGTTGCGATGATGCTTGTGTTTTGTTTGCCAAATCGGTGGTCTGGCAAATACTTCTGTTATGAGCAGTTCTACGTCCATGTTGCCGCGTTCAATCGCTTCCACAAAACAAACTAGACTGTTCCAGAGTTACCCACGCCTAGATCAATTGAGGAACAATATGAAAACAACACTTAGGACTGTTGGTTTCCCAGCCATGATTCAAGCCAGCTACCTCCCAAATACAAGCCACAAACATTACTGCTTCAGCCAAATTGCTTGGTACAGAAGAATTATGTTAACAGTGATATAACTCCCCCACTATAACTGTTTTCTAAAGACAAAAAATATGGCGATTGTAAACTACCAGAGAAAAAATGTATATATATGAAATTCACACACTCTAATAAACAGTGACAGCTTCATACTGAAATTTCCAGATTATATTTTTATGAATCCTGTAGTGTCTCAAATTTGGGATTTGGAATTTAAGTCATTACCTAAGTGTCTGGAGACTTGCGAAAAGTGTTTTGCAGTGAAAGAGCAAAGATGACAACACCTGGACAGGCAACTAGGCTAAGAATGTGATGATCAGCATTTATGCGTAAACGCACTAGCAAGAAGCTTGCCTCACTAGGCCACGGGGGTATCGTAATATTACCGCATAAACAGCGATGAGATGCCATGGGCCCGCCCACAACCACCAATAATAACCAATTAGAATATAACTTAGGGAATTGAGAACAAAAGAGGGAGGCAACTACCATCTGTCGTCAACAGCTGAATTAGCAAATTGAAACTATAAATTACTGAATTTCGAGGGACTTGGGATTCTGATCTAACACAGAATATTGAGTTGTCAGCCGAAGGCTCTCTTCAACATGGGCCTTACGAGCGGAGGCAGTGGGCCTGCATCTTGTACTACAAGTAAGTCTCTTTACTCTTATCAGCCATGTTGTTTAATAGCCTTGTTGATAAAAGTGTTGTTGTGAGATTTGAATGTGCAAACTCCAGTGTGCCCGGCGAACCCTTAGGGGAGGATACTAGAATTATATAACATGTAATTGCCTAGGCTGTTAGCCAGGCAATAAGGGTTTCATAGTGTATGTGTCAAGGTTATGGTTAGCATGTAGGATAAATATAGTATGTGGGCTTCATTATATATAACTAAGGGTAGATTATGTTCAGAGTGAAACTTTACAAAGGATAGTGTAATCGTATATAATGAGTGGTAAGAAATGTACAGGAAAAAGATTCATGTTAAACGAGGAGGACTTGCATATCCTCATTAGATGAGTCAGAGACAGAGAGAGGCTCAAGGCCTCCATCCCCGAAGGGGGAGAACTTGGAGGAGCCCAACGTGTAGTAAAGACTCTATGCAGACCCGGCTGTAGGCCAGCCTTGTTAATAATGTAAATATTGTAAATCATGTAAATACAAAAGTGTAAATAGATAGAGTAGTGAGGATAGGATGTATGCAGGGAATTCTGATTCACCCTCTATAATCAACTTTCCCATGACCCATCCAGCAGATCCTACCCAAAATGAGAGTTGCAACAGCAGCCAAATGTTTAAGGGGAGGTACTAGGAAGGGACAGGGAGAGGCACCTGCCACGCAGGCAGAGTTAGTAGCCTTGATACCAACGCCCCTTAAAATGTAATAATAACGTAATACGTTGCTACCTGTAGACTACATGAGGAGTTGTCAAGCGGGAGCTATGACTATATGCCAGGGGGTAGTTCCCACAATAGAGAGGACATATAATAGATGGTGGCAGCTTTAAGTAAAGAAGGAAACCCCGAAACAGGAGAATCCTAGCAGAGGGTGAGCTAGGAGTAGTGTGTTAACTCCTTACAGCATAAGCTGGGGTGGCAAGGAGGGGTACCTGCATACCCCCGTCGTCACGACGTTACAAGTGGTGCAAGCGTTGCGACATTACAAGTGGAGGCGAGGAGGGATAACTCCATGTCCCCCCTGCTCCGCGGCGCAACAGATCCTATAATTACACCTGCTCCGCGGCGCAACAGATCCTATAATTACAATCTGTGGGTAAGCAACATGTATCCATTTT